TGCCACCATAAATGATTAACTTAATTTTCCATTGATTTTTTATTTCGATTTTTAAAAGAAATTATTATTTATTTAATTTTTTATTTCGATTTTTAAAATAAATTATTATTTATTTGATTTTTTATTTCCAAATCCTTTCCCACCATTACAATTTGAAATTTGAAATTGAAATTCAAAATTTGAAAGCAATTCAGAATTCGAATTTCAAAAGAGGGAGCAATTCCAATGTAGAAAGCTTTTAAAAGAGCTGAGTAATTTCAATGTACAAATCAGTGGGACATTGAATGAGTTGTTTGCCACCATAAATGATTAACTTAATTTTCCATTGATTTTTTATTTCAATTTTTAAAAGAAATTATTATTTATTTAATTTTTTATTTCCAAATCATTTCCCACCATTACAACAGAATAGAGAAGTAACTTGAGAAAAGTAAACAATCAGAAAGGATAAAGATTGATAGAAACGGAAAGACGAATCAAAGAATTAAGAATATAGGTAGATCACCAAATTTGCATGACAAACGATTACATTTGAAGCACTATGCTGCAGGAAAACAGATTTAGAATTTAAACCATATGCCTCCCGATTAAAGCCATAAAATTAAAAAAAAATACAGATCAACTCATTGAAGGAAAATTAAATAATCCTGAGTTGTTAGCAGTTTTGATTCCCTATATCAAGAAATAATCTTGAGCTGTTAGCTATTTTGATTCGCTGTATCAAGAAAGGAAGAAATTTGATGAACATTTGGGTCGACCAGAGACTTAAGGAATGCTGTGATTATTTCACTTGCTGATACAAATTTTATAAAATACACCTCTCCGTCACATTTTTTTTCGGAACTGCAAAGATCATTTGACAGTAGCATGGATCCTTCCACCCTACAAAAAAAGTAAAAGCCAAAATTCAAACAACGAAAACAAAAATCATAACAACAGACACAGAAATTTAAAATCACAACAGAGACGAAATCACAACAGATTAGTAAAAAAAAAAATCAAATGAGAGTTTATGGGCATGTCATTATCTGTTAACTGCTTAAGGGAGAGAGATAATCCTTTAATCCATCTTAATTCCTTGCACAATGTGATAAAGTCTCCCCACTTCATGTGGCAACGTCTAATGAATCGAAGGATCTGTTCAGTCGTGAACATAGACATTCCTTCCAGGTATTCTCCATTAACACCATTTTCTTTAAAAATTTGCCAGTAATTAAGAAAATTTATAGTCTCTAGCCAAAAGCCAACATCCTGATAAAATACACAAAAGATGAGCGAGAGCACTGCTGTTAGTTTATATTCTCAGTTACATTTGAAGATGCATCATATGTCTGTATAACAGCACCCAAAGAAGAAGAAGCAGATAGAAGGTTATATTCACCGAGATTAGATCCTTATGAAACAGCTCTTATGTAATATATACAGTTCACATTACAGTCAATAACATAAATGAATTAAAAAAAAGATGTAGAAGCATTTTAGAGCTTAATACATTATATCAATCAATCATAACAGTGCATCCATTACATTGTAGAGTCTGGACCTATAAAATACACCTCTCCGTCACAGATTTTTTTCGGACCTGCAAAGATCATTTGACAGTAGCATGGATCATTCCACCCTACAAAAAAAGTGAAAGCCAAAATTGAAACAACGAAAACGAAAATCATAACAACAGACACAGAGACGGAAACATGCTACGACAACAGAGACGAAGTGACACTAGATTATAAAGAACGAAGGAAGAACAACCAGCACTACCCGTTCATCCAACAGAACCATCTCAACATTGTCGTCAAAATCCCTACGTTAAAAATTAGGAACCTTCCAAGATTAAACCACCTTAACCTTAATCCTCCAGTCCTCCTTGGTAGGATTAAGATCCTTTATAAAATCATAGGTTGAAAACATTTCGTAAGGGAGAATGAAAAAGGAAGAAAAGAAAGTACCGATTCCTCTAAAAGAAACAATCAGCAAAAATGGAATACCAGAGCGAAGAAAAAAATTTATATTCCCACGTTCCTTCTTATAGACCCAAGCAACAAAAGAAAAATAGTCAGAGATTAAATGAGAGTTGTCTGCCACCTAAACACCTTAAAAAAACGGAGATTAAGTGCATGTAGCCATGAAGAGAGAAATGTCAATAGTTCTAGCATCTTTATGGTTCCAGGAGTAAACAAGATTTGGCCAGTTTCTGTGCTGACAATTCAAAACCTATTGAGAATGTAATTGCAAACATCTTTGTGGCTCCCAGAATAAACCAAGAGAATGCCAGTTACTGCCTTTTGAATTCAAAGTTCAGTGAGAATGTTCTTTCTCACTGAAAATTCTTTCACCTCAGGTGGAGTTTCCTGAGAAAGAACATTCTCACTGAACTTTGAATTCAAAAGGCAGTAACTGACATTCTCTTGGTTTATTCTGGGAGCCACAAAGATGTTTGCAGTTACATTCTCAATAGGTTTTGAATTGTCAGCACAGAAACTGGTCAAATCTTGTTGTACTCCTGAAACTATAAAGATCCTAGAACTATTGACATTTCTCTCTTCACGGCTACAGGCACTTAATCTCCATTTTTTTGTAACAGGATGATCTTCAATATTGTTGCTAACGGGTACCTTTCTCTTGATTGATTGGCACTCCATAGCATCTATTCCCTGTGTGTTACTCAACAAGTCTGTCTTCTGGTCCTTGCAGGCCGCAGATGGATTAGTAGAACCAATGCTTCTTATTGGAACCACTTCTTCTGAAGGATTATTTTCTATACCATTAATGCCATAAGGGACTTCCTTAGCAATGATGATAAATTTACTGGCATCAGAAGCATCAGTCTTACCCTTATCCAAGCACACGAAATCCAAAAAGTCAAATCCTTTTGTTTGCTCCTCTGAAGCATCCTCATTGTTAGAATCATCTTCAGAAGTAGAATCCTTCTCAGTTCTACTCAGAGTTGTGTTCTTTACTTCTGTACTGCAAATTGGAGTTGGCGGCATGGGATAGCAATGGTGTTGCGAATCAGGGGAGTTTTCCTGGTCCAATTTTGTTTCCTTAGTACATCCATTTCCTTCCTTGGTTGTGCAATCATCATCTGCATTTGTCTCAAGCTCAATTAGCTCAGGATCTGAAGCAACTTAACCCAGGACATCACAAATGGAATCAAAATAGTCATCCCCCTTGTCTAGTTCCCTTGAAAACTTGTTAACTCCAGGGACTAAGAAAATAAGAGGATGCTGAAAACACATCATGCATATAAAACATCCCCTCGTGGGGTACGGTGGAACCAACAATGGGCAAATTTGAGGACACGAAAGCTTACCTCGCAAGCTAACTAACCAACACAAGAGTCCAACCCAGTCCAATGTCCACAAACAGCACTCTCAAAGTCTGTTTATACCAACAATCATATCGATATACATAATCTAATAGTTCATGACAATACGACAACGTTTTCCTTTTACGTTTCATGCCATTAGGCTTCTCACAAAGTCACAAGCCCTTAATCTAAGTGATTCTGACTTAGTTTAATTATTACAGGGGTTCAACTCTACCAATCATGGGTCCACAAACCCAAAATACCATTATGTACAAACAGAACAATGACCATCTCGAAATTCTCAGTATATCCGGATATATGTCGAGGACATATCCGGATATCCATATCCGGATATCTCAAACCCCATATCCCGATATCATATCCAGATATTTCGCGACAGCATGCAGTTTCTGCATTTCGCGAGATATCAATCCAAGGTTGCTCTTTTAACGATTTCAGAAGCTCAAACATACATTTCTAGGTGTGTTTAACACTACCCACCCTTAAGTTATTAACTTTAGCTTGTTACATGCATCAAGGTTCATTCTTTCTAAAGAAAACTCAAGAACAAAGGTGGTGAACTTTACCCAAGGCTTAAAACAGAAGCAAATGGTGCTCTTGGAGCTCACCAATCAGCCACACAACACTGACTTCACAAGGCCACAAATTTTCCTTGCAAGCTTGGTCCTTTATCAGCAATGGTAGCTTCTTGAAGCTCAAAACGCCATCATAATGGCTCCCACAACTCACACCAAGAAGTCAGCCCCCCAACCCTCACTCAACTGACACTCAACTCAGAAATAGAGCACCTTACACTCTCTCAAGTCTTATGCACACTCATACATGGAGATTTAGTGAAGAAACCAAGAGAAAAGGTGATCTCTTGGCTCACAAGGTGAAGAGGAAGAGGGTGGCAAGCATGGAAAGCTCAAGGTTCAGAAGAGAGGCACGTAGAGTGTGAGATTTCTGACCTAGAAATATGTGCCATTAAGTATATATAGGTGTATTAAGATTAATCACACTGTATTAGAACTAATGGCTACGTTTATCATTTTAATCCCAAACTTTGAATTCAGAACCTAGCCATTTTCCTAAGATTTGTCATATTTTTATTTTATTTTTCGCAACACTTTGCCGGTACGCGCTTTTACGTAGCCGGTATCAGTCTTGACACCAGTTTTCATTATTTTGACTTGAAACTTGTTATACCAGTCCTATATATTATTCTAGGAATATTCATGCACTTATTATAATTTTTTGTGATACTTCATCGGTACGCAATTATACCGTGGAGCAGAATCGGTATCTGCACTTTTCGTCAGAAAAGCGACTTTCAGCATTATTAAGCCATTATATTAATTATTCTTACCTTACCATAATTATTTAAGGTCAATTATGAAATTATTCACTTAAGCTCATAATTAATTAATTAAATTCCTAATTTAACGGTGCGGGTTCTTACAATCACATTTATCACTGGCAACAAAGTTATTCTTATAATGTAATGCATTTGTTTAATTTCAAAACTGTGAAATTTTATAATAAAAATGTACTGAAGAGTTATGTGCATAGAGCACAAAAACCCAAGGGGCTATCCAAATGCAGGATGATGGAGAGAAAATTATTTATTTGTGTATGTATACATATACATGATTGAATAACAAGGAAAAAAATCAAATTGAGCCTCCAATGAAAAATTACCCAACACAAAATTTTCTATCTGAATAAAAATCTAAACTATGAGGTTAAAAAAATCATAGCAGCTATGGAAGCAGCATATAGGCCAGTCTCAAGAACACTCCACCAATGCTTCTAATTCCTTGACTATTTGATCTACAGCATGCACGATCATCTTCTTTATCTGTTTCATTAAAAATCATCCACCATAAACAAACATAAAATAAGAAAATGTTGGCTAACATCACAATTTCTTATACAACTTAAGTAGGTTGAAGCTAAGGAAGAGAGGAGGATAAAAGTAGATAAGGAAATATGTTATAGAAGAAAATCACCTCTAGCTTATCTTCCCTCGCCTTGTGATTCCTAGGAAGACGACGAAATTCATCCTTTAATCGCAAGCACATATGAATATTCTCAGGAGACACAAAATCTGAAGCAACTTTAGTGCATGACTGCAAGATTTCCATTATTGTAATTAGAGTTAAAGGGGTACAATAAATAAAAATGTGATAATGAGGCAATCCAATATGTGTCAAAGAGAAGTTTTACCTTGAGATTCCTAACTTGGTGTGGACATCCAGCAGGAATAAATACTGCCTCTCCAAGTTTCTGCTCAAACGTCCAAGGTTCTACACCTGAAAGTTAAGATTTGGGTAAATAACTAATTGTAGGCATTGCCCAAGTTGTTTGCAATTCTATGAACTAACTACTAACCAAATTCTTCCTTCAGCTTCTTCTTGTGCTCCAAAGTCAAATAAAAACATTGGTCATGAATTGGATGGACAACCTAAGCAGAATAGAAATTAATGAACACCAAAGCATAATAAGCAAGGATAAGCACAAATATAAGACAAATATAACAATACCTTTTGAACTGGACAACAATAAGTATGTCTAAATTCTTTAGAATGTTTTCGTAGATATGCTTCTAACTTTTCAGTATCCTCCCTCCGAAAGATGTCCCAAAGAGCACCACCTGTTTCTGTTGTTTCTTTAGAGATAGCAGGCACATCATTTGGAAATATCTTTCCATTGACTTTATGGCACTTCTTCTGGCATTCAGCAACCTGAGCATGACACTCTTTCTCATCTTGGGCCTTGTGTGCTTTCTTTAATTTTGAAATAACAGGGTGCTGTTCATCAGTTAATGTAACCTCAGCTGTATGAGTCAAAATATTCACCTGTGGAAATTATTGAACAAGAAATTAGAAATAAAAATTGAAGTAAATGTGCTAGCATTTGATACCTGACACAAGATATAGAGGAAATTTCTAAAGATGGAAATATATTATTTGTTATTAAAAGAGCATAATATTTGCATTTTGCAAAAAAAAAATGCCTTAGATTAATTAGAAGTTTCATCCATTCTCTAAGAACAGAATATAATCATTTGCCATCTTACAATATGGTTACCCATATTAACAAACTATAAATTCCAAGTTTCAACCATATAAAAACAACATTTTAAACTACAGAAAGTAAAGCTATAATCTCTGCAACCGAAGGAATGACTCAAATCCAACAAAGAACAAACAAGAGCAATTAAAAAATTATTTAAGAAGCACCAGCATAACATGAAGAAAACTAGGATTTTGTATTCAATGCACAAATATAATGTAGTTTCTAACAAGGCTTTAAATAATAGAAATTATATGTTACAAGGTATCATACCGCATCAGACATATCACAGTGAAGCTTTGTTACAGAGTCCCCTCTGCCAAGTTCTTCTTTAGTCCCATATGCAATATAGGTTTTAGGACCCATGTCAGGCTTTAGGACATGAGCTGGTAACTTTGCAGCAAGGTTGAGGATTCCAGCTCGAGGATCACTGTACTCTTGAAATGGTAAACAACGGATAAATTCATCACAATGTCGGGGCAAAAGATCTTCAAACTTGTCAGAGGGGGGCCAGTCTTTTAGCTTGAGCATCTCTGGCCAGAGATTCATATATGTTCTTCCTTTCGTATAACCTTCAAAGAAATCACGAATGAGAATTTCTACCTGCAAAGGTTTAGAAGGGTGTTAATCAGAGTTCTAATATTATATGCAGGAAATACAAAGTGAAATTGTTATTCTTAACATTAAGAAGGAAATGAATAAGAAAAAAGACATGATTACTGGAAATGAA